TAAAAGCTTTGTAATTTAATGAACCTCTCCGAGGTCCTTCTTGCACCCCTCTTGCGCTGACTCTTTTGGTCTTGGGTATTAGTGGTGTGGCTTTAACAGGAGAAGTGGACCGTGATCTCACTACTACATAACCTATTCTTATGGAAAGTAGATGACTTGAGGTTAATTACCCTCAAGGGGTGCATCTAGATGAGTGCGCATGTGCCTGTTGCAGCATCTCAAAGCAGTTTGAGATGCTTCAAGAGGCACGCTGGGTACAAAAAAAATGTTCTATGTGCTGCATATTTGCAGCACAGGCTCTAAATTTGATCTGAATTTGATACATCTTCAGGTATCAAAAAACAAACAAACAAACAAAAACCACCCCACGGTAAAAAGTAGTGCTCCTGGAGCATGCCCTAAAGCAACCAGAGGCAAGGTCCTCCAAAGAGATGCTCTGGCAGGTGGCCAGACCATCTCTATGGCTGCCCCTTGTCCCAGTGATTCAGCACACTGCCTCAGTGTGCAAGGCAAACAGGAGTGGGGCAAGGCTGCAGCGTGACCCAGATCCAGGCTCTGTCCCAGGTAGAGACTAGGGGTGGTCAGGACTGGAGGTGGGGGGCCGTGAGGGTGTGGGGGACTACGTGTGGGTGGTGGGCTGCTCCGGAGGGGTGGGTCTCTTGCCTGCCCCATGCATGGTGCACAGCCCCCCTGCAGCAGCAGTGGATATCAGAGTGCTCAGGGCCCTCCTGGCAGAGCTACCCCGCGGCAGTGCAGCACATCGCAGCCCTGGCTGTCTGGCGTCGCCTGTATCACATTGCACGGGCCTGGCTTGACTTAGCCAGGGGCCATGCATCTTCAGGCAGGACTGGGCCACTCTTGTCACCCGGGGTCCTGACACCACTTGCAGGGGCTGCGCATCGGGCCAGGACCGGTCTTGCCTCCGAGTACCCAACGTGCTGTTGGGCTGAGCAGGTTACATGGAGACAGGACCTGGCCCGATGCATGGCCCCTGTGAGTGGTGCCAGGACCCTGGGTGACAGCCAGAGCTGCCCGGTGCTGCCCAAAGGTGCATGACCCCAGGCCAGGCCAGGCCAGGCCAGGCCCACTCTATGTTAAGGAGAAGTATACGTCTTCCACCATTAAGGCGGGGGTGAAAGAGGGGAACACTGAGGCACTGTGGGTCAGAATCTAGGGGGGGCCAGGGGAAAAGGACTTGGTTGTGGGGGTCTACTACAGGCCTCCTCAACAGGATCAAGAGCTAGACGATGTATTCTCCGGGCAGCTAGCAGAAGCCACACAGGCGAGGGAGGCGGTGGTCATGGGTGATCTAAACTACCCAGATATCTGCTGGGAGGAGCAGACAGCCAAAACAAGCTGCTCATGGAGGTTCTTACACTGTGTGCAGGACCTCCACCTAACCCAGGTGGTGTCTAGTCCCACCAGGGGTAGTGCCTTGCTTGACCTGGTCTTAGCAACAGAGGATGATCTCGCGGGGAACATGTGAGTTCATGGTAGCCTGGGAGATAGTGACCATCACTTGGTCGAGTCCACTATTCAGCGAAGGGTGGGTAAAGTAACTAGTGGGGCTAAGGTGTTGGGACTTCACAAGGGCCAACTTTAGCAAGCTTAGAAGGCTAGTTAGTGAGGGGATGCAACTCAAGAACATAGAGCATATGGGGGTCCAGGAGGGTTGGAGGTATCTCAAGGGAGTGATCCTTGGGGCACAAAAAGGAGTCTATCCCATTATGTAGGAAGAGAGATAAGGGGGCAAAAAAGCCCCCTTGGCTGGACAGGGAACTCCAGGGAAGTCTGGGGGCAAAGAAAGAGATGTATAGGCAATGGAAGCAGGGAGCAGCCACCAAGGAGGAATATATCTCCCTGGCGCGCTATTGCAGGGAATCAGTTAGACAGGCCAAGGTGGGGCTTGAGCTCAGGCTGGCTTCAACAATCAAGGACAATAAAAA